AATTAATATGAGAAAATGAAAAAATGGAAACAAAGTCTTTGTAAATAGGGAGGAATGGAGGGGTTGAATGAAGGGCAGGGGAATGGGAAAAAAATAAGAACCAAGAGAGCTTAGTAATGGTGCAGATTTACAATGATGAATGTCATTATATTGAATACCTAAAATGTACCAATAAAATTAATTTAAAAATATGGATTTCCAGCATTATTGGCATTTTAATTTTCCATTATGCATTTTTATACCTAATATTTAGAACAAATAAGAGTCTGAGAAACTATCATTAGAATAAGGCTGGAATGGTTCATTTTACTCTTTGGGCCTATGTGGCAGTGCCCCATGGATAACACAATAGATTTTCAGAAGAGATATGAGTTGGGCAAGACAACACTGTGAGGTTGGGGAATTTCATCATTCTCACATCTTGTAACTTCCCCTGTATGATGTTTCACTTTGCTTTCTGTTCTCTCTGTAACATCTTGTCAGGTAGGTAAAGTTTGAATCCTAGCCTATGTCAACCTTCTTTATATTTCAAACCATGTTTATTGAAAAATAAAACACAATAGCATAAAGTCATCTAAATCAAACATATGACTTCATGAATCATTATAAGATAAACATTACCCAGGTCAAGAAATAGAGCTTTTCTAGCCACCCGAGCAGCTCATTCCAGTTGCTCCATTCCAGTTATAGCTCTGTCCCTCTTGCCATTATCCTGAATTTGATAGTAATGGTTTTCTTGAATTTCCCTTTTTATAGCTCTATCACTCATATATGTATTCCTAAATATTCTAGCCTAGTCTATACTTAAGAAATTTGACATGTCTTTTGAGTCTTCCTAAAATCTGTATTTTCCTCCTCTCTTTCTTTTCCTCACAGGGTATCTGTTGAAGAGTCTGGGAAATTTGACACATGGAATATGAAAGAATGGAGTTTCTTGATGCTGCCTTTTTGTACTTCAACATATTTATCATGGGTGCTTCTTGCACAGTGGCTGCTAAATTCAGAGTGCAGGGCCAGGAATTTGGCTCAGTGGTTCCGCCTCCTGTCTTGTAAGCAGAAGGACCCGAGTTTGATTCCTGGTACCAAGAAAAAGAAAGAAAGAAAGAAAGAAATTCAGAGTGGATGTGATTCAGGCGTGATTCCTTTGAAAAGACAATGCATAGTACTGTATTTAGGATGATTGTAGGAGATATGTAATATCTAGCTTTCCCTCTTTCTGTGACTTTTAGCATCCTTTGATGTTTTAGTACCAAATCAATAATCCATTGGCAGTTGTAAAATGGTGTTTTTCTAATACTATTATTTAATTTTCATTTATTAATCAGAATACCTTTATGAAGAGAAACTTCCTTTCATTTCCTATTTAATTACTTTGCAGTGCAGTTCATTGGAAAAATTGTTATTTCTGTCCTCTTATTTACAAGTTCATAAGATATTGAGTTGGTTCAGTATCATTGTCTAAAGTCATCCAAATTTGAAATATTGTTATGAAATTTGAGAATTTATACAATGTTTTGCAATCCTGTGCAGTTGTATCATTGTTAGATATTACATATTATATGACTGACTTTTGTTTAATTCTTGTGTGACTTTATTATCTATGTGGGAATGGCTTCTTCAATAACAGTCATTTTTTTCTTTTCTTTTGTTTTCCTGGTCCTGGGGATTGAATTTAGGACTTTGCGTTTGCGAGGCAGGCGTGGTGCCACTGAGCTAAATCCCGGGTCCAATAACAGTCATTCTTTTTTTTTTTTTTTTTTTAATAACAGTCATTCGTTAGGGAATAGGTTTTATTTTTCTTTCTTTTTTCTACTTTCCTCCTACAGAAAGTAAGTGGCTTTATTCTATTGTCACAAAAAAGAAAGAAATGATTACATTTTAAAAAATCAGACAATACAAAAAAAGCATTAAAAGAGAAACTAAAACTAAGTCAAAATTCCACCACCCCAAATTAACCACTGTAACATTTTGGTAAATACCCTTCCAGAATTTTGTAAACATAATATATAGAAATAAAATCTTATTTTTTGTTCTATTTTATGTCCTTTTAAAATGTAAATATATTTGATGAATCTATTACCATGGAAATAGATGTAGCCAGTATCATCACTTTTAATATAAGGATATAAATGCAGATATATTTATATAGTTTCTATTTTCCAACTGAAAAATAATGCTATAATAAATGACCACTTTTGTATTAGAAATGCAAAACATTTCCTGACTCATCTGTGTGTCCTTATGAATTTCTGAATGAGCGGTAGAATAGAGAAGACTGTATCTGATTTTCTCTCACAAATGAGAAGCTAATGTATGCTTCAATAACTTAAAGAGATGAGATGAATAGTAGCAATCAGATTTCTTGCTTAACAATTTGGAACTGTAAAACCAATAAACTGCGAGTCACTGATAGTTTGAGTTGGGGGTTGTAGCTGCCATTTATAACCCCATGTATGCTGAGGAATAGGAAGAAATAAAACAGAGATCTGAACCCTTTTGGAGTGTACATTCTAGAGGAGAAAGTCAAATAGTTGACATTCTAGGTGAGTAATACAGTATGTTGGAGTGATCTGGAAAGAATAAAAAGAGCAGAGTGAGGTAGATCGAGAGCACAAGTTGTGGGGATGGAAGATATGGTTTTTGTGGTATGAGAAGAGAGAGCTGTTGCCTTGGTTTTGTCAGTTTTCTAGTTAGTAGTCTGTGTTTGTATGAATCCTTTCTAGCTGTACTTATTTGGAGTTCTTGGCATTTGTGACATTTCAGTCTGGTTTCAGTCTGTTTCTGTTCTTTTCAACTTTGATGAAAATACAGTGGACCCTTGACTTATGAACTTGATCAGTTCCCGAGGGCTGGTTGTAACTCAAGTTAGTTGTAAGTCACTACACCTGAGATCTAGATGTTTATCTGTGTACATGCTATAGATAACAAGAGGCAGACGAATCATCCATTAACCTAATTAACCCAAGTTGTTCCTATGTCAGGCCAGTTATAACTTGAGGGTCCACTGTACTCTTATGGTTTAGTGTCTAGGTACTTATTTAATGGACTTTTGTGGGAGACCAGAGGAGAACTGAAGCCTACTCTGTGAGCAAAAGGAGAATGGCTGCACTTGGGGTGATTGCATTTTGCAGGTTGTAGGGAAAACTTAAGACAGCTGAGGTTAAGTTGTTTACCAGAGAATGTACTAATGGATATTGGAACGCAGATGAATCTTGTGTTACTTTGATTGTGCGTGCCCATGTTTGGGTGAATAAAGGTAAGATGAGTCAGAGGAGGCTCCTCTGCCTACTAAGAGGCAAGACACCCCTGGCTGCTAGCATGTTAAGCTGACTCCTGTCTCTGTCATTCATCCTCCTTTGATCCCCGGGTCAGGGAGAACAAAGTAGCAAGTCTAAGTCTCTGAGGGTCGGCTACATGTGGTGCCCCAACATAGGGCTTGGACAGGGCTCAGCTACAGACTGTATAAGATAATTTGCGACTGGTGGATTACTGGATTAATAAATGCATATTCAAATTTCTCAGACACTTTTGAGATGAATTTTTCTTTCCCAACTCCCATAATATTGACAGAGATGAATAAATGTCTATGTGACACATTGCCAAACATTTACTATGTCAAATAGGGTCCAGCAATTTGAGTAGGGGAAATTTGATATAAAGCATTTTAATGAAATCAAAGTAGTTAACTACAGAGTAAGAGAGAACACTAAAATGTGCAGAAGTAGCTCTGTGGACTGGCTACTGCTCTGAGGGATGTATCCAAGGGCAAAGGGAAAAGTGAACAAGGAAGGGAGTTAGAGGAAGGGCCTGCAAGGTGAGATTTGGTCCTTTGAAAATAAGTTGTAGTTTCCATTGGAATATGCTGCTATCACTGTCATGATGAAGGAGCTTGACAGAAACAGCTTGCCCTGACAGCCGTGGCCGGCTGAGCCTTACTGGAGGGCAGTGGCTGCTAAACAGCCAGGACTGCCACTCACTGCTGGGACCACTGCACAGCCCTCCTTTATCCCCTAGACAGTAGCGTCCCTCCAGGGCTTCTGATTGGGTGCACTTAACAGAGAGCTGACTGGCAAAAGTTAACATGTAACACAGTCTGCAATCTCGCCGGACCAGGAGGTGAGATATTAATACCAGCAAATATGGTTAGCATGTTCTCTAAATCCAGAAATAGAGCAACTGTGGCATAATAGAAAATAAGTTTCCAAACAGGGTCATTTCACTTTTTTCTACACAAAATAGTATATGTGGGTACAATTCTTGTTAGATATGAAATTATTATATATGATTTTATTAGATATGAAGCTTTTTAAACATAAGAAAAGTTTCTAATACCTTAAAAACTCTTTCTTTGAGCTATAACTCTGTATCGCCATATGGAAAAGTGACTGAATTGTTTGTTTCATCATTCAATTTTACCACTCAAGTGAAGACCAGATAATGCTTGAGTCCAGAGGGAATTTTATTGTTTTAAGTTTAATGCTGTGTATTAATCTTGCTGTGAATAGGCTTTCCTCCTCATCAGATTCCCTAGATAGGGCTTACAATTTTTCTCCAGGTATTACTTCCAAGCCTTTTCAGATGCATTTGTCTCGTGGGAATCTGAAAGCTCTAGAAACATATTTTTAGTGTGTATTCCAGTGGTTACAATTTCAAGGTGAAGTCACACTGGTGAGATCATCACAATTTATCTGCTGTCTCTTAGAAAATATAGTAAATTGTCCAATACCAGATATTTTTCTGTATTTATTGCTTTCCTTTTTATATTGCACTTTCTAAGCCACTTATACTAATATAAAGACTTTTAAAAAAATGACTACAAATATATAGAATAGTCATCCATTGATGACATTTTAATGAGCAATACCATTCCTCTCTTACCAGGACTTGTGACCTATCTTTACTCACCTATGTGATTGGGCTTGTTTACTAAATTGCCTCCTGAACCCCATTCCTATCTGCCCCACATCTTCCAAACATGTTTATCTGTGAAATTTTCCCAAAAGTCTTGATCTTATTGCAAATAAGCTCTTCTCCAGAGTTTAAAAAAAAAACCTCCTTGCTTCTCAGTGACCATATTTAATTGCAAGGCAGACAAGATCACAGCTCTAGCTGGTCATGCCATTTTACTTCAGTTTCCTAAGTCACTGGCCATTCTGCACAGTTGTATGCTGGGTTTTGCCTAATAGGTTTCTACTCATTCAGCCCCAGGCGAGGGTTGGGAGGGTTGGCAGCAAGACATCCCTGAGGCGTGGAAAGAATTGTTTAATTTTTGTCACCAACACTTTATTATACATTTCAGATGTTTGAGTGCCTACTATGTGCAGAAGGGCACACAGAGTGATGGGATAAAAGAAGGGAGATTTTAGATAGGATGACCAACTTCTCTCTGAGGTAATATTGTGCCGAGGTGAGCTATGCACTCCTCCGGGAAACAAATATTTTAGGCATAGGGAATAGTAAGTGTGGAGAGCGGTGTTAGCCAAAGAGGCTCCATTTTGAATCTTACCCTCCATTGTATAGAGCAAGGAGACTATGTTATGAGGAACCGCGTCCTTGCTGAATTAGATTGCCCTGGAACGTGATGAACGTTCTGTAACCCCGAGAAACAAGGAAGCCCACGAGGGTGGGGAATTCCCAAAGAACTAGAAAACAAGGAAGCAGGTGTCTCTGGATAAGGGTCATGATTAACAACCAAACTCACCTGTTGTATAAAAGAGAGAAGAAAAATAAACTCGGGCACTTGGTCTCTGGGAGCCCTCCCGACTCTATCTCTTTGTCTTTATTTTTCTTCATCCTCACTCCCCCATTCGGGTACTGTTCGACAAGTGACGGCTGGCTCCGTCAGTAAGAGTAAAAGCCTTTCAGCAGGGATGTGCTTTGATACAGAAAGGATAGCAGGGAGGCATGACTGGCACGGGAAAAGCAACCAAGAGGGAGGATGGTTGGTGATAAGCCTAGGTGTTAGTGTGAGAGAGGACAGATTATCATATAAGGCCTTATGGGCCACCATTAGGACTTTTGATTTTACTCTGAGATAGGAAGTGAAATATTGTAAAAATGTACATAGTGTTAAGGGTCCCTGTTTACTTTCATGGTAGAGAGAAAATCCTGTAGAACATAGGGATATGACATTTTCTAATTAAAATATTTTCAAAATTAGCAAAATCTGAAGTTCAATAATACATTAAGCTGCTGTTTTGTCTTTTGTAGGTAGGAGGGGTATTCAAGTGAAATAAAATGATTATTCTTGGAATAAATCACTTTCTTATCAAATCTCTGAAAAGAAAGGGGCTTACAATTTTATTTTTAGCTTCTTGGAAAATACTCATGTACTCAGTAGTAGTTTTTGATCATGTATTAACAGATCAAACACTTCAATGGAACATTAGATTATTTTACCACTTTGCGTCTGAGTAAATGAACTATATTTATAATTTAAATTACACTTTAAAAATTCCTAGTAAAGTCTTGATAGAGGCAATGAAAATAAAAATACAAAAATATCCAATTAGGAGATGAGATAGTTATCATTTTATAGAATGAATAAATGTACAATTTGCATACATCTTGCAATGTAATGGGAATTCAAAAAATGTAAGTACATAGGCTCTGCTATATTCAGACTTTTAATTGATTTTTAAAAAAATAAGA